TGTGAAGAACTGACTCATTTGAAAATATCCTGATTCCAGGAAAGATTGCAGGTAGGAGCAGAAGGGGACGACAGAGGATGAGATGGTTGGATTGCATCACCGACTCAATGGACATGGGTTTGAGTAAGCTCCGGGAGTTGGTGATGGACAGGGAGGCCTGGCGTGCTGCAGAGTGGTCACAAAGAGTCGGACACGACTGAGCAACTGAACTGAACTTACTTCTGTAGTCCTTAGCTTCTTTATCTGAAAAAGTGTTGGAAAGTCTGATAATTATTTTATTTCTGCTCTGAAAAGTAGTTGTTCTTATAAAGAAAAAAGCATTTTCCTTTGGTCTTACATGGTAAAGTTAGTGGAACATATTGAAGGGGATAGGAAAAACATTCCAAATTCAGAAAGGATCATCAAGATAAACAAAATTTAATTTGTGCACAAAATTAAAATGCAAACTTGAAAACTCCCCATGAAAGTGTTATCTGATTTCAGATAATTAGAGAGTACCTGCAAGTAGCAGAGATGAGCAGAAGGAGCCCTGAACTGTAATCAGGGGCCTAGTTTCACTAGCAACTCACTGCACAACTGCAGGGAAGCCCCTTAATTAGTCTGCGTCTCGGAGACCCCACCTTGGGTGTAATGAGGGGCTTGGCCAGACCAGTGGTTCCCAGGTGCTGGCTGAGTGGTGCAAGATTCATGGAGTCCTCCAATCCACCATCAAAGAGTCTGATTCAGGGGTCAAGGTGGGGCTGAGGGCATTTTATGTTTTAAATAACGAACCTCTCCAGTAGTGATGCGGTGATTCACAAACGAGCTGTGGTTATTGGTTGGGACGATCCTTGGTATCTCATTCAGATACACATACTCTATGACTTTAGGCAGTTTAGCACCTGAATTTCACGTGATGAAGAACTGACTTCTCTAGTATCTCCCAAAGATGGTTATCTAGTCTGTCTAAACAGTTTCAGGACTAGAATACTTGGAATCTCCATTCTTCTCTGGGTCAGTTCTAATTGTAAAGTTCAAATTTACAACAAAATCCAACTCAAAGAATATGACCCAGGTCTTGCTTGCTGAAGAAACCAATAAACAGTCCGACTCTACTTTTACACAGAAGTCTTCAAGATGTGAGACAGAGCCACTTTCCCTTAGCCCTCTCCGGCTGCATGCACGACCTTCCTCCACTCTTTCTCACCTAAAAGGGCCTCTTGATAGGGCTGTTTCAAATGTAACGGCAAAGTAGTTTTGTATTCGTTTACTTCTGGCACTATTCTGTTTTAATATCTTGTTAATTAGCAAATAAAAGAGATCCAAATAAGTTAGAAAACATGTACAATTTCTAAGTGTTACCATAAAACCTAAGTCCTCCAAAAGAGTAGTTTTTATTCCACTTTTAATTTCAAAACACAGAAGTATTTTGTTTTATTATTGAAAACATATTAAGCAGTATAACAGGTATTTTCAAAGTGCATCATAGTTTTAATACAATATAAATATGCTTTGATTAAAATAATGTTGATACTGTTAATCTGATGACATCTGTATGAAGCTAGTGTTAATAGCTTCTTCTTAGACTTGCGAAAACAGGCTCACAAAGGACACTTCTTTTATTGAGTTTCTACTGTATTTTCAAGTATAGCTTTAAGCACATTTACACGTTTTCTCTCTTTTGACAACTTTTTAGTGTTATATCTGTTTCACGGAGGATGAGAACAATGGCAAGAGTGGTTACATAATATCAATGAAATTACCCAGTTATTAAGAGGCAAAGCCAGAATTGGTACTAAAAGCTTCTCCTTCTAAGTCAAAGTGCTTCTCATTATATCAGGATACTTCTGAATATCAATTTCAGAGAATGTTAATATACCTTTACCTAGTCTAACATCTGCAACTGAAAAACTATATATTAACACTCAAATGACATAAACAAAACAAAACAAAAAAATGACCAATCCTCTGCTCCCAAATTAACAGTCTGAAAGCATCAATCTGGTGTTGCCAAAAAAAAAAGAATCAATGGCAACTGAAAATTCAAACAATACAAAATTTCTGGACTTTTTTAGTTTTGTTTCTAATTGGCACTTCTATTTTAGAGTGGCATTCTGTTTCAATTTCCTTTTATCTAAAATGGTATATCATTTGTTCTTATTCAATTTATAAATTGAGTACAGAGTACTTTGTCAGAATAGATGGAGCTGGACCAAAATCATGCTGTATCACTGTCTTAGGAGCAATAGCAGAACAGTAAGGGGACAAGTTCTCCCATTTTGCTTGTTATACCATAGAAAAGGCACCATTAAATGCCCCACAGCACATCTGTAGAAATCAAGCCAGTTTAATTATCCTTCAACTATACTACACAGGTCAACTCATGACTCCACTACTTTACTATGAAATTATCTCTCTCCAAGTTAAGCATTAAAGCATTGCAAGCCTTTAGGCAAGCGATTCATTCCTAGTTACTCTGGCACCAGCCCTGAAAAAGAAGGGTATGAGGCACTACAATGAGGCCGTGGGTGTGTCGGGCAGACAAGGTACTCAAAGGGTTAAGATCTTGATTTATCTAGCTGACCTTCTGTAAATTTTTTTTGCTACAGAATAGTTATGTGAAAAAAAATACAGTACTAAGCCTTCAGGGATGATTCTATATGTTAGCTTACTAAATCTCATTCATTCTAAACAATTTTTTTTTAAAAATTTACAATTAACATTTCTGAAGCTGGGATGCATCTAATAATCTATGGTATCTCAGATCTGATGACCTAATACAGTACATGGTAACATGACGGCATTTCATTAAGAAAAGCATGAGTGAGCTAAACAAGCAAACACTGAACAAAGGATTCCCTAACACACCCTCAATGCAAAATAGAGCACAAAAGCTCCCTACTATAGATTAGCATTTGAGAGTGTTCTCTTAAAATTGGTAAAACTAAATAGCTAGCAAAGAATATTCTGGAACTCTGAAACACTGGGGGGAAAAAAAGGCCCATACTACATACAAAATAAGTTACAGTCTAGACTACCTTCTGATAAGCTTTGCATATAAAATAAGTATTTTGGAGGGTGTCTACAGTGATGATAAAACTATCACTGATAGTGTAATTTTCCATCATGTTGGTACTTTCCTATAAAAATCACATGAAATCAGTACTTCATGTTCTCAAGTGCTGCGCTGCTCACACTGTATGTGTGTGTAAACATGACAATGAACACTCATGTTCCTGTCTCCTCGGCTCAATCAGAGATGATACAACCGCTAAAGCATTTCTTTAAGGCATTGTAAGTCTTTTTTCACCTCTAATGGGGGGAATACACCTCTTTTTAAAAGGATGAGACAAAAAATTTAGAATTCTGAGGGCATATTTAGGAAAAGAGTAAAATAACATAAATCATGAACCTAAGGTAAAAGAACTTAGATGAGGGGAGAGAATAATTCTTATGAAAGGTAAGTTTAATTAACAAATGACTATGAAAACAAAACAAACAGCTTTGTGATTGTAGTGTTCATAACATCATAACAGTGAAGTGCAACTTTCATGCCTTGAAGCCTTAGATTCTCAAGTTCAGTAGCTGCTATTCTGGGCTAGATTACTCTGTGTTGAGGGTGGCTGTCCTTCACACTGACTCCACCATCAGATGCCAGCCGTGTCCTGCACCCCAGCCTTGCAACAGCTAAAAATGTTTCAACCACAGGAATATTTGCCCCCTGTTGAGAGGTGCTGCTCTAACCTTTCAGTTATCAACTGGAAAAAAAAGGTTATTCTAGTTTCTCTGAAATTACCTGAAGAGTAGAAAACAATTTCAAAAATCCATTTTAAACAAACATTGCTTCAGGTACATTTTCCAGCTACAGAAGAAAAAAACTGGGACATTTAGTATTTGCTCAAGTATTTAAAATATTGGGATTTATATAAATGGGCATTTAAAAATCAGAAACAAACGAAATCCATAAAGTATCTTCTTTTTCAACCATTATTCCCCTAGGATTCAAAAAATACCATCAATCGAACAGTCAGACGTAAGGAAATATATTCATTTACACTAGTATGGTGGCTATAATCAGAGAGACTTCACTTTACATACTTTATATTATTTACTATTTACAAAGAATGTTTAATCCATGCCAACTGCTTTGCTAAATACTTGATTTCTATGCATTATCTCACTAGAAGAAGAGATAAATTAACTTAATATCACTATCATGAGTTAAAAAATTCCTAAGATTCAAGGTTTGGTTGTAAACTTCCCCAAACTTTATATGCTAGTAAATATAGTAATCAGAATTCTGAGCACAATAAGCTACATGCAAGCACGGCATCTATGGAAAAAAGCTGCATCAACTCTTGGAGGCTATGAGGGTAACGGTGATGGATAAGTTACTACCAGTGACTAATACTCCTAAATGCTTAACTTCCAAACCATGCAGTTTAGAAAAAAGTACATTCACTAACACCAGAAATCCAAACATAAAAGAGAAAAAGAAATACCTTATTATCTAAAAAGCAATGAACAGTGCAAATGGACACTTTACACAAAATAAGCATTGGACCCTCTTGATTAATACACTTAAAATTTAAAGTTGAGTTCCCTTGTATTTAATAGCATTTTTTAATTGAGATATACTTCACAAACATAAAATTCACCATATAAATGTACACTTCAATAGCTCCCAACACATCCATACTGTTGTGTAACCATCACCACTATCCAATTCCAGATCACTTCCATCACCCCTGAAAGAAGGGCGGTACCTACTGGCAGTCTATCCTCCAAACATCACCTAGCGATCACTAACTAAACTGCCCTCTGTCTCCCAGGGATTTGTCTGTTCTAGATATTTCATATAATCACAGATTATGTGGCCTTTTGTGTCTGACATCTTTCACTTAGCATATGGTTTTAAGGGGTTATCCATGGGGTAGCATGTTCCTTTCCACGGCTGAATAATCCCTTATTGCCACAGCAACTAAGTGAAGCATTTCAAGTACTGTGTTTAGCCATGTCACCTGAAACATTTTCAGCCATTCCTGGAGGCCTGTAGGTGGCTGCACAGATGTAATTCGGCGTCGTTGTTGCCCTTGACCATTGGCGGCTCGCAGGTCTCCAAAAGTCGTTGGTGTTGCTGAACATGGTACAAGCCCAGTGGTGCTACAGAAGTGCAAGGGTGGAGCAGAGAGACATTTATTAAGGGCTAGGGGCTCTGATGAGCAATATGGTGTGTCTCAAACATCAAATTCTTATTTGTATTTGCTTATTCCCAGAAAGCAAGGAGACACAAAACTTATTCTGCTATTCTTAGCTAAGTTTCCTCCCTCCTACGTAACCAGCTGTTTTCATCCCAGCACAGCTAATTGCAACCAAATGGTAGAATCTCTATGGCAAAACTGCAAGTTGTTGATAACACACCAATAATTTCAAAATACTTTCTTAGAAGATTCAGGTTCCAATTGTCTTATGACTGGTCTTTAGGAACATTATTAAATAAAAATTTAAGTTTCTTTCATAAAAAGGGGTGGAAGACATTAATGCTTTAAAATATCATTAAGTAGTAGTATATTCAAAGGCTTTAGACATTTCATTGGCCACATTATTCCTTAAGTTTGCCCCTAATGCCTTCTAAATTATTTATATTTGTATATTCTCTAATTTTCTATTGTTATTATTAAGCTTAGTCTATACAGTATTTGATAAGAGTGAGCCTTGATTAGAAATGTATTTACTCAAATAGGTAGGTAGTGAGAACATATTATAAGCAACATTAAGTGAAATGAGATCATCAAAATACCATTATCCAATAATTTAAATTCTGAGACAGTAAACACACACACACACACCACAAATCTGAAATTCAATTGATTCTGCCAACTAATAAAATAAGTAAATACTAAACATCTCTATTTTAGAGACGTGTGGAAAAAAGGAGCAGGAAGATTCAGTTAACAAAATTACATTTGCAAAGTAATCTTCAGTTTATTGAGCTAAGACAGTACAATGTTTAAAATTCAAAGAACATATAAACTGTATCCTAACAGTTAACTATTAAGGTCTGAAAAATTACTAATGAAGTAACCCCAATTCTTTTCTATCTAGCATATCTCATTATTTTGCTTATAAATGCATCTCAGTCACCAGAAAAATACAGAAAAATCTTCATATCTACCACTTTTAAATCTTTTAACATTATTCATCTAAGATGGTCTCTAACATAAAACAATTAAATCTATTTTTTCTTCTATCAAATTTTAAAGGTAAGCTCTATTTTCTCCTCTGAAATGAAACAGAATGTGATTGTAACTTAAATTTTCTAATAAAAATAATGAAAAATCATAGTCTCATTTTATTATTAGAAAATCTTTCAACAAAATTAAAGAACATCAAATATACACTGACCAAGTCTCTAAAAAGACATGGCAATCAATATGCTGCCTGGTTTTCTTTAGTAAGACTGTGTTAAAGGTTAAAAATAAAACTTTCTCCTTTGCAGGTACTTTCTCAATAGGAAAAAGTGAGTGACGGAAGAAAAACTTTACTAAAATGTGCTCTATGGTAAAAATTCAGCATTCATTTATAAATGGCCTTAAAAACAACTGAACCATTTAATACTTCTGCCCTGGTATTAGTCTTATTAACAGAAGACCAAAATTATACAGCTGACTGAAATCTATACACTAAAAAAATAGCTTACTTTAAACATTAAACTCAGCATTCTCATCCAAGAAAGAGTTTACCAAGACCAGTAGAAAAAAGCAAAAATGAAGTGAACAGTTTCATCTATCACTCCACACCCTCTGGTGAAAGTGCCAAAACACAGTGAAACTGTCAGAAGGCAAAGCATAAGTAAGAGAGGGGGGACAGTTAACATGGGAAAATCACAACAAAAAGTATCTTCTGAATAAGCAAGAAATAGCCTTACTGTTCTCTTCTGTATCATTTTTGCATTTTTGGTATATAAACTGTTCTAATTATCATGATTTCTAAATTTCAACAAAAGGCATCTGAAAGGAATATTTTCCAGAACTGAATGAAATAAAAGTATAAACTGTTCCCTGGAAGAAAAGAGATGCAATCTGTAACAATGTTTAATCACAAGTCTGAGTAATGTTAATTTTATTGCATTTTAAAGAATAACTCTAAATCAAAATTTTGAGGGGAAAAAAAGAAATGTCACATCACAAAGCTCCTACGGTTTCTATATCTAATTTTCAATCAATTATTTGAAGTGACAAATATGCCAACAAGACTTATAATAAGCCCTTAAGATGCTTTTGTCATTTAAAATTTAAAACACCACATTCCAAATGACATCCAAAGCCATTTTTAATTGGCTGGGTAATAGATATTGTGCTTAAGTTAGCCTAATTAGTGTGGGAGAAGGAAAAGTTTTATACTGATGCAAAATCCAAAAATGATGGAATGGTGCAGGAAACAAGACTACAATTGTATTTAGTTGTTATGGAAACTATTCTACTGGTGTGGAAATTTATGTGTTAAAAACATTAGGCTTACAAAGCAAATAAAAGGTGGTTTCTAACACAGTAACCTCATGAAATAAGATTTAGTTAGTAATTGTGAGGTCTATTTCACTGCTACTAAATGTATCTTCAGTTACCCATATATAACTATCTACCCTGGAACAGCTGTTGCTATAGAAACAAGATACATTTGCTCATATCCATATATCAGGACTTACTTTTTAGAATTCCTTCAAAATTATAATTTAAAACTTTTGTTGATAAGAGAACTTCTGGGTGTGTCTTACTTCAATGTATTAGTAACAAAATGTATACCCACAGTGGTAGTCATTCTTCTCCTTATTTAAAATGTATGTTTCTCAATTTTCAGTGATGGCAAAATGTGCTAAATAGTCAACAGTATTAGTGACATTGTAACTCTATGAGAATAAAGTGAATGAAAGCTTTTCAGAATCATCAACTCTTTAAAGAAACATGAGAACAGGGAGAGAATCAAATTATACTTAATATTACCTTGTATATTCTGAGACTTTGCATGGTTTCTTTCCCAAAGAAAAAGAGCGGACCTCAGAACCATGGTCCAACTTTCTTTTCATCTATAAGGTAAAACAAATGAGATATGTTTAAAAAAAAAATCACCTGTCCAATTATTAAATCTTAATGTTAGCATCAGTAATACTGAAAAAAAACCCTTAAATTTTCATATGTCTGCAATATTAATTATGCATAGCTCATTCATATAGAAAATAAATGTTTCATAGTTTCTTCTATTATTTCTACTTTGTTTTACTCTTTACAAGACTGGAGAAGTGAATTTCTCCCCCTAATATTTGTGCACCTAATATTATGGTGGTTTAAAAACTGATACCCATCGTACATATTCCTTGAGAGTAATATACCTTTCACATTTTCTGGTTTAAGGACCAATACATGGGAATATGTCAAGTTAACCCACACAGAAAAGAACCATATTCAACATGCTGTTCTCAGTGATTTTCATTTTCCTTTAAAAGACATATTTAATTTCAAAATTAGAATGGAAGTAACAGTCAGTGATTTAAAACACATTATTACAAAAGGGTAAAGAGAATAATGTAAATAGAATGCTCTTGAAAAGTAATTATGATAAGGCATAAAGAATGACTGTGGGCACTGAGGACAGTACAAACAGTAAACCCATAATAAGAGGGAAATCTAGAGATAATACAATAAAGGTAGGAAAAAACCATCCATTGATATTCACACAGAATATACAGCTCTATGACTATACATTATAGATACTCAGGACAAAATATACTAACTTGAAAACCAACAAGAAAAACAGATTTTAAAAGAATGAGTTATGCATCTTTGTAAGGTATATCCAACATTTGTAGTTTTGAAAGTATTTCATTACACTACATAGATATGGAATACTGCAAATATATTCAGAATTACATTTTGTCATCAATATTGAAATATCTACTTTTTATAACTTGGTTAATGGAGGTCATCTTACTATAGATATGTTATAAAACTATATAAAATAAAATCTGATGAGATTCAACAACTTATATTTTAGTAATCCTTCTAAGATTTGTGCTTGCTAATTAATTACTATACTACTGAAAATAACGGGAGGGGGGATCCGCAGAGTGATAGAAAGTTATCCTCAATTTTACAATAAGGTGAAACCCTAGCTTTGCAGTAGCCTTATTTTCTTACCTACTGCTTCACATGGGAACACCATAACACAGCATGCTACACTGTAAATACTAAAAAGAACCAAGAAAAGACGACTCTGAAAATCTTTTTGAATCATATTCAAGATAATAAAAACTGTGTTTGTATCATCATGAAGAAAGTCTTCTAGAACACAGGGATTATTTTACAATGTTAAAGGCAAGACATGAGGGTATGACAAGCTCATCCACAATTTATACCTTAGTTCACGAAAATACCGACTGAAAGAAATGGAACTGGTCTTATTTCAACCCTTCAAGAAGTTTCTGTACTTATAACACTGTTCTAAAGTGACTCCTCTCAAAACCCATTATTTTCTTTCTCCAAATAATTTTAATAAAAAGCAAAAATAAATGCTTCAATACATAGGGTAGCCATGTGTTTACACATATATAAATTATAGAACACACACACACACACACACACACACACACACACACACAAATTTATTCATCAGGAAGGTCAGTACAGATTACCTTAAAGATCTATTTTTTATAACTTCTATGGATACTCATTTTCAAAATTATGTTGATAAATTTTTATATTCATCATAATTAAGTTACGAATACTGGCTTTCAGAACTTCCGGGATATCTTGTAAATACAATGGTGCAAATACCATTTGCCACTAAAGGCAAACTTTATTTCCATCTTAGAAATCCTTCAGTGAATAAAAATGCCCAAAATTCATTTCAAGGGAACCACTGAGAAAGGATTTTCAAATTTAGAATATTTGATAAAATAAAGCACTTTCTGTATGACTATATAAGTCTTTTTTTATTATACTGTTTACTAAAAATACTGACTTAAGAACCAAAAATTAAATCTGCAATTTTGAAGGGGTGCAGAAAGTCAATAAAATCTCTTTAAACATAAATCCCTAATATTCTAGTGATTCTACACTTTAAGAGAGGCAACTAAAGGAAAAAAAAAAACACCCTAAATACAAGGCATAGAAAAATTAAAGGCAAAAAGGTTCACTGAAAGCTAACTAAGGGTAGAGTATTTCCAGGTCAGCATTTAACAGAGCCACGTTTCTAAAGTACGAATATATTTTTAGAGGAAAAATTCTCAGATTAAAATACTCATTTTTATTTTAAATGTAAAGCTTTTTTCAGCTCATGTTGTCTTTCCATTATTTGCTTACATTCACGATATAAAACAGAATACCAGACATCCAGCCACCCACCAAAATTAGAGGATACTGCAGCCATCTCTGATGATACAGATTTTCCTTTTCAGGCAGGCACACACACACACACACACACACACACACACACAGTCATACAACACAGGAAGAAAACAGCTTACTTACTTTGTAAAAAATCATTTTTAGTGTGCCGTAGAAACCCATATTTTCTGGATTTTTCCCCTTCAGTGATTCTGTGCCCCCGTGTGTCCGGCTGCTTGGCAGTCTCTGACAATATAAACCTTTTTCAGGTAGGTATGTCACAGATTCTAATGTGGACATGCTCAGGCACGTCAGAAAAGGAAGATTAGGGAGCAGAACCGGCAACAAAACTCCACAGTAGAGGCAAATGCAGCTCTGTATCAAACCGCTTCTCGGGACACACATACATACATGCAGCTTGACTGAGGAGAACTCGAGGGAATAATGAGAGAGAACCGAGAAGATTATTGGAGGAGACTCTGCCCTGTCAAAGCCTGGACTGGAGAGATTCCTCCCTCAGCAGCAGAGGGATCAGATTACATCTTCCCTTGAACACAGAATGGTGCAGTCCAGGATTCAGCAATGCAGACTGCACATCAATTATATGGTGATCCGCTCCAGGGAACCCGTAAGCACACAGCGCGCTGAACAGAGGGAGGGAGTGGGCAGTCAAGGAGACCGCCCCCACGCCACAGCCCCCCTCTCCCCTTTCAAACTTTCGGGAGGTTATTTTTACATTCTGTAAAACCTGCATTTTTGAAGAGTTTTAAATGGCAAGCATCATTTCCACAAATAAGTCCTTTCAGAAACATTTTGAAAATGGAATATGTTTTCATCTGGTCCTCCCAAAAGAAGCGAAGCAGTCTCTGTTCACTAACCGCTACCCTATTGCAGTCCTGGCATAGGCTGATCAGATTTTTCAAGGAGCTTGGACAGTCCAAGATAGGCAGTTGCAAAGGGAAGAATGAGAGATTCTTTAAGGGTGATTTACAGAAAGGTAAACCAGCTAGGAACATACCAGCATTTGCAGAAATTATGTAATAAGTTATATTTCAACCTGCATATTTCTTATATTAACATTTAATATAAATATTCCCTATGCTTTTCCATCCCATTCATTTAAAACACAGTCTTCAAAAAAAATTACCATACACTGTCAGTCCTTAGTAATCCTGAGAATATCTTTCTATGATGAACAAACTAAGTATATAAAGTCTGGCTGAAAGGTTCTATTTCTCCAAAGAGAACAAACACTGTGCTCATTGGAGAGTCTTATAATTACGTGTCCATTTAATTATGAGTAAACAGGAGGCACTGGACTCCCACTTACAAACTTATCTTTACAGAGTATACTGCTTGTCATTAGAAAGTATTCTATATAATAATAAAAGGCATCAAAGTTTGCCTGAAGGCAACATTTTTCTTAGAATGACTACTACACAAGTCTAGATATTTCATCTTGCAACTTGCTACAAAACTAGCTTCGGAGGCAATTATGAGATTCTTTGGACTAGAAAGGCCCATTATTAAGGGTCTAGTTAATTAACTTCTACCCTCCCCATTAACGTTATTACAAGTAAACTGTGTCCCTACAGTTATTTAAGCACTTAGAAAGTTTCTTCAGGAAAAAGGAAATAACATCTTGACTTACTACATTTTAATACTTTTTGCTGTGGTAATAAATGACTTTTGTTAGAAAAATGATTCTAAATGATGCATAACGTAGTATCATTTTTTAAATAAATGTTTACCTTTTTGATTAAGATGTTAAGTCAGAAAAAAAGAAATTAAGTCAGCATAATGTCTTTTTCTTTAAAACATAAATAAGATAACCTAAAATTTTATGAAAATGTATATCTTGGGTCTTCTCTTGGAAGTTATATTCTACATATTATTTTTTTTTAATCTCCTTACTGGCTCTTAAACTAATTCTTAGCCTCAGAAACAATATGTACATGTACTCAACAAAAGTTGGTCTTCTAAATAAACAATTAACTTACTTCAAAGGAAACTTCCTTTTAAAAAGAAATGTTACTCTGGTAAAAAAAAATTCCAACTATTAAGAATGGACTCATAAACCCCTTTTTTTTTTTGAAGCTTCAGAGCACTCAGGATTTGAAAAAGAAAAAGAACCTCTCCCCATTCTGGGCTATCTGAAGAAACTAACTGTAAAAGCAACACCTGAAATTTCCTCTGAAAGCTTGTCAGAGGACAGAGAGACTACCTATCAGTCACATAACAGTATATACCTTGACTACAATTAAAATCATGCCCTATCTCTAGTTGAACTAACCTTTTCAAATAAAGTCTACTCAACTGAGGACACAGACCAACTTTAACAAACCAGGAACACTGTCTCAAAATACTGGACAGTTAAAGAAGAAAACATCTTAACTTTGTATATTCAATGGAATGCTCTTCTGGTTTTATGACTCCTATGTATGGCTATGAAGTTACACGAAAACCTGATTCCCACAAATGTATGTTTATATGTAGGTATGTATATTCACTTTTAAAATTTCTGAATAGGCAAAATATTTTATATAGCTCAAGAATCAAAATGAAATACAAAAATAAACACTGAAAAGACTTTCCAACACTCCCAACCATCTATCATGGTTCCCATTTGGAAATGATTTTTATTAGTTTGTTTATCCTTTATGTGAGAATTAAATATTTGTAAGTGCTCATGAAGACTTAACAT